CATATGCATTTACAAGAGCTGTTTTGTCAAGGCTCCAGGGATTTATTTTATATTCATTTCTGCAGCATGTGATTTTTTTTCCAGCTGGTTAGTAAAGTATTTACCATTGTTTGATACTCGCAGAAATTCAGGGAATATCTGTCGTCAAAAGACTTTATTAGCATCCACACTCCGAAGCTGATTTCAGGGTCAAGTGAAGGTGGAGCAGCAGTATTCAAACTTGAATATAAGAATGGCAAGTGTGCCTGTTTAGCACAATCGCCTCAGCTGCACAAGCAGATGGCTATCTGTGGTGGGTTCTGTCGTGTCTTTGAGGTTGGGTCTGTGTTTAGAGCTGAAGATTCCAACACACATAGGCATCTGTGTGAGTTTGTTGGTTTGGACGCTGAAATGGAGATTATGAGGCACTACTTTGAGGTGAGCAAGTTTGGTAGAGTGCTCTTCTTCATTTACAAACACGGCAATGGCTGAACTTGTTTCTTTAAACAGGTTTGCGATATTGTGGATGGATTATTTGTAGAATTGTTCAGACACTTGAATGAAAATTGCAAGACGGAACTTGAGGCAATTAATAGGCAGTATCCGTTTGAACCAGTGAAGGTAAAATATTTGTTGCTTCTTATTGATTGGTGGTTCCAGTAATGTTACAATATCTGGGTTTTTGTAGCTGAAATGGCGACTCACATTGTGTTAATTCCTGCAGTACCTAGAGAGTACCTTGAGGCTCAGTTACGAGGAAGGAATACAAATGTTGAAGGTACAAACATGTTTTGAATTTTATGCTGTTTTCGTGCAGTATATAACTGCTACTTTAACTCTACTGTACACAGCCTGATGTATGGCATCATAATAAGAAAAGAAAAAGAATTAAGCATTGGTGATTTATTTGCTTGGCAGGAAGCTGGAACAGAAATCGAGCCTATGGCTGACCTCAACACTGAAGCTGAGAAAAAACTTGGTCAGCTTGTTAGGGAGAAGTACGTACAAGTGTCAACACCGTAATGCTTATGTTCATTTCATCATTTTGTCTTTTCTATTAACTTAACTCGCTCTTGCTGTAAAATTTGTAGGTATGACACTGATTTTTTCATTCTTTATCGATATCCTTTGGCGGCACGCCCCTTCTACACCATGCCTTGCTATGACAACCCAGCGTACAGCAACTCATTTGATGTCTTCCTTCGAGGTGAGCACAAAAATTGCTCAAGCTTTACCTGACACCATTATGATGTATTAGTTAGTTTATTTAGTTGCAACTTGCAAGTATTTTTCAGGCCATCTGAATATATGAATATACTAGCATTACGACCATCAGTGCCAGTGGGGATAGTTTCTGTTCCACACTCTGCATCTTATGGTGTCTGACTAGTACTCCTACCTGATTTCCTGAAGTTGGAGCAGTGATGAAGTGTTGAATTTGCTGAACAAACTTTGCACTTCTTGCTTACTCGACAGGTGAGGAAATAATTTCCGGAGCACAAAGAATACATGAACCCGAGCTGCTGGCCAAACGTGCGGTCGAGCATGGAATCGATAAGAGTTCTATCAAGTGGTACATCGAATCGTTTAGGTGTGTTGATCCACAAACCCGTGTCTGCGATCATTTAGTGTTGCAGCACCTACCATGTAGTTATATTTGCTAGGTCTCTGCCTCTTGATGTGATTCTCATTTGAGAAATGCTTACTGTTGCAGGTACGGCACACCTCCTCATGGCGGGTTCGGGGCCGGGTTGGAGAGGGTGGTCATGTTGTTCTGCGGACTGAACAACATCCGGAAGGCATCGTGTTTCCCTCGTGACCCGCAGAGGCTGAGTCCATGATCTCCGTCCCTCTGAGAGCGAGCGTGATCCATGCTTATTCTAGCTATGATGACCTTTTCGATGCTTAGTTACCTCTACCTTTAAAGCAATGTTCTGCTGTTAGTGGTTATGAAACTGTCACCTTGATGTGCGTAGTAGTAGGCGAGTTTTGATAGAAGATCAAAGACTTAAGCATGGAGAAGTTTGCAGATAATTGAGAATCGGCATGTTGTTCTCTCTGTCTGGTTAACTTCTTCCCACACAGGGAAGTTGCCAATTAACTCTACTCTTTGCATCGCCTACTATCTATCGCATGAAACAAGGGAAATTCTGGCAAGGCGTGATTTTCGGCTGTGTTGATAGAGAATAAATGTCCACTCCAATTAATGGTGAACAGAACAAGTCTATATGTTAGTCACATTGCATCCACCACATGCTTTATTTACAAGTGCGAGTTGCCTTCTGCTCTCTCCTTCCCCGTTTCATTTTTGCAACAATAACTTTCTCTCCACTCTGAATTCTAGAGGATATTTTCTGGGCGCACCGTGCCGTCGTCCCTCCTTTCCTGGTAGGTCCTCGCCTCCCACCTCCACCGCCCACCGGCGTGGGAGTGCACTGATCATGGATCTCTACCCCGCTTTAGAGGATTTACTTCATTGCTGATGGGGATGACACTGATCATGTGAATAAATTTTCCTTGAGTGTCTCCAGCTCTAGGGTGATGATGTCTCATTGGCGTAGATTCATGAAACCTAAAAATTGATCACTGATCCAATTCCACTACCTCTACGGGATGTTGTGGTTTGCAGGGTATCATGGTATGTCGATGTGGTGGTGTGGCTACCCTTTACAGTCTTTTTTTCTTGAGGGGTAGAATGCGACTGTATTCAATCAAAATGGAGTGTGGCAGGTATTCTTAACAGCCACACATGGGGCCCCACGCCAAGAGTAACTGAAGGTTTAGTGAGATCATGCGCCTCACCATTACGCTCCGGCTTTTCATGATCCACGCAAACTTCGTCCATCTCTCCCATCTACATCTCGATATCATGTATAATGGAACAGCTTTGGCCCATATAGCTCTCTCTACATCTTGGTCATCATATGGATTCTCCATGGATAGAGATCATCCGCCAATGCTAGAGCTTCATTGAATGTAATTGCTTCAGAATCTCGGGTTGCACCAAATCAAGAACCAGAGGGAGGACTGGATTGAGCACAGAACAAGCATATCCGATCAACTTTCATCCAAAAGCGGGAGTGGACCAGATTATGGAAGGTGAGGGTGCCGTCAAAGGTCCGTGTTTTTGTCTGGTGCCTTGCCCACACTTCTCTGCCAACTGGGTCCACCCGCCACCACGGAAAGATGTCAGATTTGGCGGCCTGCTCTTTGTGCAATGCTGAGGAAGATACTTGGTGCCATTCTTTGTTTGATTGCCGCATGGCAAGATGCGTTTCGGCGTTAGGAGAAGAGGAGGTGCTAGAGCATGTGATATCCAACAGATGGCTGGATCCTCGTTTGTGGTTGTTTTGGTTGTTTGAGACACTCAATGAAACGGAGCTTGCTAAAGTGTTGATTACTATGTGGGCTATATGGTGGGGCGCGAAGGAGAGCAATTCATAACAACGAGTTCCAGAGCCCACTGTCTATGTTCTGTTTTATCACGAGGTATCTTCAGGACCTAGAGATTGTAGAAAACCGATTGAAACCGAGTGCTGCAAGGCTCGTCGACCCCCGGCCACGGGCCAAAGTATGGGTACCACCTGAAGGAGATGAAGCTAAGCTCAATGTTGATGGGGATACATCGAGGCAGGGTCATGTTGGTGCAGCAGCAGTGATCTGTAGGAACAAGGAAGGCCTTTTCATGGAGGCTTCGGCAGTGGTCTTTGATGGTTTGAATGACGCAGCTGCACTTGAGGCACATGCGTGTAACAAGGCCTTAGCACCGGCTACGGACCTCAATCTTACTCGCTTACTGATTGCATGGATGTCCTGAGCAAGATAGACACAGGAGCAGCAAATCACTATGCACCGGTATTGCATGAAATATCAGAGAGAAGGATGGAGTTCCGCCATATTAAATTCAAGTTTGAGCATAGGAAGAATAATTTCGAAGTACATGCATTGGCGAAAGCGGCAACTTCTCTCGCTGTAGGTCGCCATATTTGGCTAGGGACATTACCCGACATTATTTGTATTTCGATGTTGATTACTGTTTAACAAAGTCCCTAGTTACCTGTCAAAACAAAGACTGTCTGAAGCTCCCGGCCTCGCGTGACAGATCGCCACACAAGAACCTCTGTCGTTATTGCTCGTGTATTAAAGAATATTTATGAAACTGTACAAAATTTCACCAATTCAAAAAATGTTCATGAATGAAAAAATATCCTAAAAATTCAAAGACTGTTCCTGACTTACAAAATAGTTTATTCATTCATAAAATGTTCGTTGATTAAAAAAATGATCATGCATTTGAAAAAATGTTCGCTAAATCTAAAAAATGTGCGTGAATTCTAAAAAAATGTTCCACCAATCTCCAAAAAATGTTCGTCCTTTCTAGAAATGTTCGCCGAATCAAGAAAAATGTTACAAGAAAATGTTTACAATTTTTTTACAAATAGTATAAAATGTTCATGAATTAAAAAAATGTTCTTGATTTTAGAAAATGTTCGAAACTTTGTAAAAGTGTTCATGAATTTGAAAAATGTTCACGATTTCAAATATGTGCATGAGTTTAAAAAATGTTCATGATTTCATGAAATTGAGAGTGATAATGTATCTTGGTGATGTAGCAAAATATGGTCATGACCGTTGAAGATTATGATTTTTTTTCCGTTGCAACGCACATGCCCTTTTGTTAGTAAAAATAAAATATCTAGTGCAAGCTCAAGATATACAAATATTGGAGCGTTAGGGTTTTCAATGCGAAAAATAGAAGGTGAAATTTACCGCCGCTGGATCCTAGCCTCATCGCTCCCATCGGACGGTGCACGTGAGTCGCAGGCCTAAGCGGTCCGCCGCTTCGCACCTGCCGCCGCCGGCGTGAGGGACGGGACCGGACATTTCGCCCGTGCGCCACACAACTAACTCACCGGCGCCGCCGCGCCGGCCATCTCGTCGCCGCCGCGGGAGAAGCATCGAGCGTGCCTCTCGATTCCGTCGTGGGCTCTCGAGAACCTCCGCCTGCCGCCTCGGCGGGGATGGTGAAGATAGTGACATACAACGTGAACGGGCTGCGGCCGCGGGTGGCGCAGCACGGCTCGCTCCGCCGCCTCCTCGACTCGCTCGACACCGACATCATCTGCTTCCAGGTCCGACCGGTTGCTGATCCCCTTCCTTCCCACCCATTATTCTAGCTAGAGATCCTGCGTCCGAACCCTAGTTCTTAGCCGTCTGTGGTCACCCCGCCTCCAAAATGTTACCACTTCACTCATTGCAGTTCATTTCCACGTACTGTTTATGCTCCATGAAATCCGGGTTCACCAAGTCTGCACTGTACTGTGGTGCCTGCTGCTTGATTTCTGCGCGCTGAAAATGAATGGATTTACTAGATGAAGTGGGGTTAAGTTTGTGATTCGGTTCAGCTGACCTTGCCTATGTTTGGTGTGCTTTAGGAGACCAAATTGTCGAGGCAGGACTTGTCTGGGGATGTCATAATGGCCGAGGGATACGAGGCTTTCATTTCGTGCAATCGTTCTTCGAGAGGGCGTGGACCATACTCTGGTGAGTGATTAATTTGAATAGTATGTTTGGTTAGTTTTTGGAGCATTGTGTGTTGGAGGTGTTGTTTTCTTCCACATGACACTTTGCTGGTTAAGTTGCCCCGAATGCTTCATCCCTTGTTGTTGATTCATTTATGTATTGTAGGTGTTGCAACGTTTTGCCGGGTGACATCAGCATTTGCCAGTCAGGAGGTTGCTTTGCCGGTAGCAGCTGAAGAAGGCTTTGCTGGATTACAGGGCTCTGCAAAGGACAATGAAGTTATTGGGGATTTTGTTCTTGATATGCCTATGGATGAGGAAGATCTTGGCGAAATAACAAGAGAGGAGCTGCTCAGGGTGGACAATGAGGGGCGATGTATCATCACTGACCATGGACATTTTGGTAAGCCGCTTCTTGCCAGTAAAGTAGGATTATGATTTCCATATGATGTGCCAATGTTCTTTTGTCGCATATCTGGTCTGTTCTCTGTTTGTGATGATATGTACTGTGCTATCTGTGTAGTTCTTTTCAATATATATGGCCCATCTATTGGAGAAGATGATGAAGAACGGGTTCGTTTTAAGCTACTGTTTTACAAGATATTGCAGGTACTCATGTACATCTCAGTTAGTATAGTGCTGATTTCTCACGGTTTTAATGGCTTAGTGAAGGACTTCTATTAAACTGCGTTCATCTTTCCAAATCTTTTAGAAACGATGGGAATTTCTACTGGCTCTCGGAAAGAGAGTCTTCGTTGTTGGAGATTTGAATATTGCTCCTAGTTCGATAGATAGGTGTGACGCATCTCCTGGATTTGAGAAGCAAATGTAAGCTCTTTCCCCTTTCCTTTTTATCTTGACTTGCTTGCACTAAAACTTAATTCTGCGGCAAAGGTTTGCTGACCAGCATAATTTGAAGAGTGAAAATGAAGAACATAAGATGTGCATTTTTTATGTAAAGATGACAACCTGTTTCACAAGAAAACGTTGTTGCATATGCTCTGGTGATAATTTTCTCAATGTAAGTGTAAATTTTGCTATGAGCAACTGTTGTTGGGTGGTATTATAACTCATGGGCTGTTACAGCATAGGTTAATGCAATCAGTTAATAGCATGAGAAACAACTGTGTGTTGCAAAATTACGAGATATATAAACTGGAATCCCATTCACAGCTGCACGATACCTGACTTGTATCGTATTACCTTCACCCCTAATTCGCATATAATGACCCGACATACCTTGCTCGATGTAAGCTTCGAGCTCAGTAGAAATTGTTAATAACAGCATTTACAGTGAGGCTGCATACTGAATTCCATAAAAGCTTCAAACTAATAGTATGGATTTCCACTTGTGATGAATGCATTAGTCTGCTCTCTGTAGAGTTTCGGTTTATATCTTCTCTATTTTACTGTGCTGTATGAAGACTTCGAGCAGAGTAAAAAGATACAAAATTGTTAAAAGAACTGTTTACACTTTGCAGTGAGGCTTCAAACTAATGTATTTATTAGGCTTTTCGACGGTGATAAATGCATTGGTCTGCTCTCTTAGAAGTAAATCTAATAATGAAATTGAAATTGCTCAAGAATAACGCTAGTTAGTTATCATCCTTTTCCTGATTCAAGGTTTCGGGAGTGGCTGAGATCCATGTTAAGAGAACATGGAGGTCCCTTTTTTGACGCTTTCAGATCAAAGCACCCTGAAAGGTACCGCGGCTCCTTTTTTTACTTGCCCAATATATACTAGTAGTCCGACTTATTCTATTCTTGATTTTGTAATTTTGTTATAACTTGTTACTCCATACCAACAGTGTAAGTGCATATTTCACTGGTGGTTAACAATTTCCTCAGAATGTAAGCACTACTATGCACGTATCCAATGTGTAGATTTTGAAAGCACGCCATATCAGTTTTTGTAGCTACTGATTTCCATCTTAAAAAACTAAATAAAAAGGTAATAATTTGCTGATGTGGCAGGCTGTGAGCACAGGAAAATTATTTAGTGGGATCAACTTTATAGTTATATATGATTATAATTATTACACCTATAGTGGACTCCACAGGAACTAACATTCTAACCCTGCATTGCATGCTTTCTGCATTTCTTTTATGTAGGACGGGAGCTTATACTTGCTTTAATCAAAAAGTTGGAGCTGAAGAATACAATTACGGTTCTAGAATAGACCACATTCTCATTTCTGGTGCCTGTTTTCATGACTGCAATTCGGTGGAAGATCATAGCATTTTCCATTGCCATGTTGAGGATTGTGAGATAATGAATCATTTCAGAAGAGGGGATTCAGGAAATATCTCAAAGTAAAGATGGGTTGAAAATTTTCCTTTCTGATATTAAGGTGGATAACAAGCAGGATTTGACTATTGCATTGCCCACAGGTGGAAAGGAGGGAGAAGTAGTAAGCTAGAAGGGTCTGATCATATTCCAGTTTATATGATACTGAACGGAATACCTGAACTTCCTGCCCATAATACCCCACCATCAGCTGCAAGATATCTCCCAGAAATCCGTGGGCGGCAACAAAGTATAGGTGCGCAAAATTTGTGTTTTGTAACATTTTCCAAGCAACAACTTAAATTTTCAACTTCCAGTGTAAGCTGAAACTAAGTTGTATTATAGTGTCATTCTATTAACATAAGCCACAGTGGTTAAACTACTGTACGCCTTAGCTTCCCATCAGCTGATAAGATATATATTTCTTCCCTTAAAACTTTGTAAGCAACTGCCTGTATTTTATAGCAATCACATGGATGGATGCTCTTCTTGGTTGGATGCGGTTACTAAACTTGCTTCAGGATTACTGCTTTCTTATTCTTTTGAATACAAGTATACATGCATGCTAACTGCTTCATAATGTGGTGTGTTTATGCAAATCAACTCCCATATATTCACCATCAAATTTTGAGTATTTAGAAATTAGAATAGGTTAATTAGAATTTCTAGTTTATATACGGTATCCAGTTCAGAAAACACTGTCTGTTGTTATGCTAACTAGCAAGTTTTGCTGTGCATGTCATTTCTTATGGTAGATTGTGATACTGATACACCTTCCTAGATATAGGTAGATTCGAATGTGCATTTCATCATGTCTTATCACTTGGTAACACAACTATTCCTGACCTTACCTATGGTTTTACTTGCATGCAATTGTGATACATTTTTTGTTCAGTATCATTCCTCGGTAAAGGAAAATTGTGCGAAGCTGAAGATGGCCCAGGTTTAAACATATCCAGGGATAGAGAAAACCAAAGCTGCTGTAGTGATGACCTGGAAAGGAGAAGCATATCCAAGGAAGAATTAGCAACTGGTATAACCGAGTTTTCTAAAGGTGTTAACCAACCTAGTCCGACGTCTAAGCGGAGGAATCTTGATCATTGGATAAATGAAGGTTCAAGTGGCAGCTCTGTAACATTACTAGCAGCACAAGGTATGAAAACTTCCTTTTCTGGTGTCAAGTCTGTGTCAAACAAGAAAAACAAGCATAACTTATCCTCACAGCCAACAATCAAGTCATTTTTTCGAAGACCAGAAACAAAGCCAGGGGATGCCAATATCAATAGCTTAGCTAGTTCAGTAGATACAGTACCTAGTTCAGTAGATACACTACCTAAGATGGATGAATTATGTTCTCCACAAGATGATAGTCTGCAAGAAAACATCCAGTGTACAGCTGCAGCTGACGGAGATCCGGATAACTCAAACATATCATCTTCACTTTCAACTTATAAATGCAATATTGCAACATTGGAGTGGCAAAGAATACAACAGAGAATGAAAATGACCCTACCACTTTGCAAAGGACACCGTGAACCTTGCATTCCAAGGTCTGTGAAGAAGGGCTCCAATATCGGTCGCTTATTCTATGTCTGTGCCCGTGCTCAGGTACTTAAACTTCAGAATTTGTTACTTAGTTCATATCAAAGGAGTAGTTATAATATGCTGTGCGATGTGCACAAATCAAATCATTTGTGTATGCAGGGACCTTCATCAAATCCAGAAGCGAACTGCAATCACTTTCAATGGGCCTCTGTAAAATCTAAAGGGAAGCGGCAATGACTCTTTTGTTTGTCAGTCATTTTCTGCCGTTGCCATGCAGGTCAAATGACTACTTTCTGCACTTGATGCAAGTAATATCAGCAGTTCCCTAAGAATGTGTTGATGCTTTTGTTGGACAATTTAGTTTATTTTTGTGCTAACTTCTGTTTTAGTCCCCAGAAGCCCTGGACACCTGTCAGCTTGTGCTTCGCGTGAGTCTGATGTATCGCCTGCTCCCATGTTGGGAGCAAGATGGTCCTTATTCAGTGCAAATTTCTTTACTAACAGAGGTACATAGTTTGTCCTTGTAGAGTTCTAGTTAGATTTATACCCGGTACCCTCCTTTTCTTTGTTGAAGAGAAGTAGCCTCCTCCTTTGTTGTAACTTCCAAGTCAAACAAACAAAATGTGACTGTCTGTTGTTGGGTGGCTAATGAAATGCCATTTGGAGCCCTCATGTGGTTCTGTTTGTTTAATTCTGGCTTAGCTTATCTTGAGAATGAGAACATAATCAGGATATTTTCAACTTAAAAGTAATTGCATATATACCTGGAAAAATCAACTGAACCCAATTATTTGTCAATAAGTTGTGATGTGACTCCTTAAAGATAAGTTTAACTTTGGCTAATGCTGGAGGTATGCACCTATTTCGTGCCAGTATTATATATTAGCCATGTTGTTGTGCATGTGTATCAATCAAGAAATGCGCCATACTGATACAGTCTGTTTCGGACATGTATGCATCGAAGGATAAGTATACACTTAATCTCCACCAGGTGGCATGCCCCGGCAGGCGCTATTTGGTTTCTTAATTGTTATTTTTAGAAATAATAACATAGGGAGATTTGTTCATCTATTAGAGAAGAAGCAACACGCAATCTGCTCATCTGTAATAAGTGCCACCTGTGCTGATCAGCAAACACCATGTGGAGTTATCAGTGCATGGTCGATAGCAATACATTTCCAACAGATGGGTAGGATGCAATATGTTGGACCAGGGAATTCCTTCTATATGTCTGAAAGAAAAAAAAAAGGCTTTGATGGGCCTTTACCATTTAGGCCCCGCTTGGTTCCTCGTTTTAGGGCCCAATACACCTGTAAAATATACCCCTGTAAAATAAAAACGGATGGGCCTGTCGTTGGTGCTTGGCATGTCGTTTTTGGGCTGTAAGTTTTACACTGGTTTTCTCGTTTACACCCGTATCGGGCCGTTAAAAGCACCCTAGCTTCATTTTTGCCTCTTGAATTGTAACTTTGGATATCTGGTTAGCTGGTACCTGTGCTAAATATCTGGCCTTTGCACCTTTGCTGAATATAGCTTTTTATTTTTTGAAGATCCTTTTTGGTGGTATTGCCCTGAAGGTGTGAACATCTTTCCTTTTTTTTATGGAAGAAATTAGTTGCCCCCTTGTATGATCTGGCATTGTGCTTCAGTTCATTCCTTCCTGGCAATGCTACGGTGCTGCGCCCAGGCAGCAGGCGTGGATCACCTAAATTACTCGAAACACCATAGCGCCGGGCAACCAACTACCGTTGGCAGATGATTACATGAAGCTCCGGTTGGCTTGATTTTCTCCCCTTTTCTCTTCTTGGAGGTAAAATACCTGTCACCATTGCATGGTGAGATGATGAGGCTCTTGTGCGCGTCGGCTGGCTGTGTGCATAGTCGCATAGGTGAAGAATGGTGGTGACGATCTGGGAATGCAGGACCTGAGATATTTTTCCTTGTCTAGCGTAGTAGACTCATCATCGATACGCGCTACAAATAGACCAAGAAATACATTGATATTTTTCCATGTCTGTTATTTATTCGTGCTAGTGTATGTATTCAGTCGTGGCAACCGATGCAGTGAAATAGAAACGCAATTATGCTACAGTTTTTTCGCAAAATAAATCCAGCCTTTCTCGGAATATGGATATCGGTAGCTCTACAATATGGTTCGTAAAGTCGCAACATTCGTCGGGTCAACAAGCTTGCCGAAGCTTTAACACAGTCCCATTACAGCATAGGCAAAAAATTATGTGTTCCCTGCAAAAGATGTTGGTTTTGGTGAACACAGAGGTGGACAGTTTTGATTGAATTCGCTGAATTACAGACAAAGCTAGCGCTTTCGTAAATACAAATTCAAATATAGCACGAACTGTTGTGTATTTTTTTCTTAGACAAACGATTTTTTTAAGCAATCTGAGACAAATGAATTGTTTTGACTGGAATATACTCTTGCATCCTGCAAAATTCAGCTCGATTTATCAGGCCGTGAGCCTTGTATGGGCATTTTTTTTTTTGCGTGCGCGTTGTATGGGTTTTGCAGATTGTGGGCTGCGGGGGCCTTAAAAGCCCAATCATAGTGGCGATTTATATTAAACCCTTAAACGTAGGCAGATCCAGTTCGCACTCGCCGACGAGCAGGCGGCGGCGCAAACTCTGCTTCCGGCGAGGAGCCACGCGTTCGGCGCAGCGACTGAAGCGGCGGCGACTCCGCCCGGAACGCGACCAGGTTTGTCCCTCTGCTCAGCTCATCGACCCCAACTCTGGAACTTGGCGTGTCAATGGTGACTGAGTAGATAGATTTCCGGTGGACTCGCAGATCCCCTCATGTCGTTCGCCGGTGTGTCGGTCGTCGACGGCGCCAAGCGCTGCACCTGCGACACGTCGGCCGTCTACGCCGGCGCGGACAGCGGGTACCACCTGCTCATGGTCAGGGACTACTCGCGTACCAAGCTTCAGTTGCCCACCGGCGAGAGCGCCACCACCGGCCTTTTCACGGTGGGAGAATATGACTGGTACATCGAGTACTACCCCAACGGAGAAAACCCGAACTGCCGGGACTTCGTTTCGCTCTACGTCACGAGGCATACCCTCTACGACTGCGAGGGCGAAGAGGATGTGGAGGCCAAGTTCAGCTTCAGTCTCGTCGACCAGCTTGAGAAGCACAAGCCAGTGTACATTCATGGAACCAATAAAACCTGCACCTTCTCCAGCAGTGCTCCCTCCTGGGGCAGCGACAGATTTGTGAGACGAGACGCCCTGGAACGATCGGCGCACCTAAAGGGCGATTGTCTCACCATCCGGTGTGACATCATGGTTGTTTGCAAGGATCACAAAATCGAGGATGCCGCTGGCGCCATATCTGACATAAACCAACATTTTGCCCACCTCCTTCAAAACAAGGTGGGTGCTGATGTGACATTTGAGGTCGGTGGCGAGACGTTCGCCGCACACCGGTGTGTGCTTGCAGCCCGGTCTAAAGTGTTCATGGCGCAGCTCTTTGGCCCCATGAAGGAGGGCGCCACAACATCCAGCGTCATACAGATCAAAGACATGGAAGCAAAAGTGTTCAGGGCTTTGCTAAGCTTCATCTACACAGATTCACTCCCTGCCATGGAGAAGGACAGCATGGAGGATGAAATGTCAGAAGTTATGGACGAAGGGCGAGAAGAAGCAGCAGAGTTTGAAATGTGGCTGCAATGGTTGGAAGATTTGTTTGTGGCGGCAGACAGATACGATCTCCAAATGCTCAAGTTAATCTGCGAAAAGCAGTTGTCTGAGCACATAAGTGTCAGCTCGGTGACGTCCACTCTTGCTCTAGCTGAGAAGCACCACTGCTGTGGATTGAAGGAGGCGTGCTTGAAGTTTATCCAAGTGCAGTCTCCCTCATGCTTGCAAACAGTAATGGCAACTAGTGGCTGGGATCATATAGCAGTGACCTATCCCTGGGTTGTGAAGGAGTTCATTGCCAAGCTTGCTTCGAACCAGCGCAAGTAACACTCTGTATAGGGGTAGGTATGTTCCTTAGACCTGCAGTGGCGCTCTTATGCATATATGGATCCTCTTAAGAGAGGTCATAGTCCGTACGTCTTTTTTTTGTCTCACTCATGTAATTTGCCTATATGCTGAATATCAACAAAAGAAATCCAACATATGGTCAAATTGTCTCTTCATTATTCTTGAAAAGAAAATTTATCTCTTCATGGAATGGATTAGTCTGTAAATTCAGGCGCCAGCGTCAACGTTGATCTGCATTGCAACATATGGTGGATAGTGATATCACGTCTAGCACTCTGCCTGTTTGTTTTCCTTTTTTTCTTTCAAGAGAATTTCAAACGCGAGAATTATTCATCGCACCAATCATCTACAGGCAGCTGGCAGAGGCAACCTATCCACATGCCCCCGTTTGTATATCCCCAACCGCCCCCGGTGTGCTATTCAAATTAATTTCACAAAGCAAGTGTTTTAATTAAAATAAAAAGGACAGACCCAGTGCATAGAAGCTCCCACACAAGGTGGGGTCTGGGGAGGGATTATAGGAACCTAGTCTTACCCCTGCAAAGTGCAATGCAGAGAGGCTGGTTCGAACCCAGGACCTCTTGGCACAAGTGGGGAGGACTTCACCACTGCGCCAGGCCTGCCCTCCTAAGTGTTTTAATTAAAATAAAAAAATAATTTCACAAAGCAAATGTGGCTGATAGGCTCATCATACAAGCTGATTAGTGGCCACCACGTGGAAATAGAATGGATAACAAATTAATATTTCTACGTTATTCTGAATTCTGTTTGCTGATACAAAAATTGAGGGTATGAACTGAACTTTCTTGTTAGGAAAAAAAATAATTATTGGAAAGGAACTGTTTGAGCTGCCTTCATCATGCTATAGTACCTGCCTTCCTGGCAAGGTAGGAATGGCCAGTTAAATTACTCGAAACAACATAGCACCGAGTAACCAACTGCTGTTGCCAGATGATTACAGGGAAGCTCTGGTTGACCTGAAGATTCTTTTTCTGTTGTGTTCTGTTAAACGTGTACAACATGGTCAGGTACTCAGGCGTTGACCTCCATTCTGATCCAGTCGGTAGCTATTGGATTTATCCGTCTTCGTGGTTTGATTAATAGTTCATTGGTTCAGCTGACCATGGCCTGCATGTTCCATTGGTATATTCCTTAATCACTTTCCAATGTCATTTGTCTGGAAAGTCGCCCTTATCATCTACATGCAAAAGCATCATCATCTATAAAAAGCTGCAAATTGAGGTGAGATACTCACTAGCTCTTGTCTGCCAGTAGATCACATGGTTTGATTAAAGGATGTAAGGGGCAGCCTGGTGCATGTAGCTCCCGCTTGTGCAGGGTCCAGGGAAGGGTCCGACCACTTTGGGTCTATGGTACGCGGCCTTTCCCTACATTTCTGCAAGAGGCAACAGTTTTACCGCTGCGCCAAGGTTCCCCTTTGATTAAAGGATGTAAACCATTGATATTTTACTGTGACCACCTGTGTTTCTATATTTGCAGGGACCTTCATCAAATCCTGAAGTTAACTGTGGCCACTTTCAAGGGGCTTCTGCAAAATCTAAAGGGAAGCAGCAATGTTTTTATTTATTTAACCGTGCAGTTAATATGAATTATTTCAGCTAAGTAAAATCAGCAATTTCATAAAAAATGTGTCGATGCTTTTGTTGGACAATTTTTTTAATGCAAACTCCTGATTTTGTTCCCCAGTAGCCTGGACACTTGTCAGCTTGGGTTTCCTGTGAGTCTGATGTATCACCTGCTACCCGTGTTGGGAGCAAGAGTTCTCTGTTCAGCGTTGAATCATTTACCGACAGAGGTACATAGTTTATCCTTGTAGAGTTCTGGTTAGATGGTTAGTGTACCCAACCCTCTTTCTATTTCTGTTGGAGAGAAGTAGCCTCCTTTGTTGTAACTTCTAAGCGAAACAACATCTAAAAAAAACTTCTAAGCAAACAGACAAAATGTGGCTCTCTGTTGGGTGGCTAATAAATGCTAGTTGGAGCCCTCATGTGGTTCTGTTTGTTGAATTCTGTCTAGCTTATCTTTGAGAACATTATCGGGATACTTTCAACCGAAAGCTAACTGATGTTAGTGGTATGCGCATAAATTGTGGCAGTATTTTATAGTAGTCTTGCTGTTTCGCATCTGTATCAAGAAATAAGTGCCATTTGTGAAGGGGGTCTGCTCATAGAGTCTATTTTGGACATATATGCATCGAAGGATACATGTCTATTTAATCTCCACCAGGTGGCATGCCCAGGCAGGCACTATTTAGTTTCTTATTGCAAAAAAGATAACATATGGGCGGTTTATTTAAGAAGAAACATGCAACCTACTCGTCTATATTATACACCAGCGCTGACCAGCGACCACCACGTGGAAGTTCATGGTCGATAGCTCTGCATTTCTAATAGATGGATAATATGCAGTATGCTGAACCAGAGAATTCTATTATATGTCCAAAAGGAAAAAGGATTTGATGGAGCTTACCATTTAAAAGCGCCCTAGCGCTCTTTTCGCCATGTGAAGCGCAATTTTCGATATCTGTTTAGCTGATAGTACTTCTTTCCAATATTTCGCCTTTGCACCTTTGCTTGTTATTCTGAATTCTGTCTGTGTGATGGTATTTTTGAGAGATTTTTTGGGAGATTGCTTGCGCCCCCGTCTGGTCATCTGGCATTGTGCTGATAGTTCCTTCCTGGCAATGTTACGGTGCTGCGCCCGCGGCGTGCGGCGGGCATGGTCAGCTAAAGTGCTTGAAACATCATAGCACATAGTAACCAACTACCGTCGCCGCATGATTACATGGAAGCTCCTGTTGGCCTGAAGATTCTTTTTCTGTGTCCGTTCCTGGGGTTAAGTTGCTTTTTTTTGTTGAGAAAAACCTGGGGTTAAATTGCTGGTCCATTGCATGATGAGGCTCCTTTTAGGTTGTGTCACAGTTTACTCATTGTGGGTCATCTGTGAGCTACTGATTGATCTGATCCGTTACAAAATTGGAGTAAAAACCAGAGATCGTGGTTCATGTTTGACAGGGATCGCATGTCTAACAACTTGAAATGGTATGGATAACGAATTAGTATTTCTACATTTCCAGGGGATGGGCATGTTTGATACTCCCTCTGTCCCGAAATATAAGATCATTTTTGACACTATCATAGCGTCAAAAATGATCTTACATTCTGGGACGGAGGGAGTAGTATCTGGTAGCAGGTCCTTCTCCTGCTAACATCTGGTCTTTACGTCTACGTTATTCTGAATTCTGTTTGGTGATAGAAAAATTGAGGGTATGAACTGAACTTTATTGTTAAGAATTTTTCTAATTATTTTAAAGGAACTTTTTGACCTGCCTTCATCGCGCTACAGTCCCTACCTTCCTGGCATGGTAGGCATGGCCAGTTAAGTTACTCGAAATAACGCAGCACCGAGTAACCAACTGCTGTTGCCAGATGATTACAGGGAAGCTCTGGTTTATCTCAAGATTTTGTTTTCTGTTTGTATTCTGTTAAACGTACACAACATGGTCAGGTACTCAGGCATCGACCTCCATTCTGGTCTGGTCGGCAGGTATTGAATTTACCTGTCTTTGTGGTTTGGTCAATAGTTCATTGGTTCAGTTGATTGACTATGGCCTGCATGTTCCATCGGTTTGGTCAATAAGCTTATCTTTGAGGACATTATCAGGATACTTTCAACTGAAAACTAACTGATGTTAAGAGGTATGCACGTAAATCGTGCCAGTCTCATATAGTCTTGCTGTTGTGCATCTCTATCAAGAAATAAGTGCCATCTGTGAAGGTGGTCTACTGATTCAGTCTATTCCGGACGTGTATGCATCAAAGATATGTGTCTATTTTAATCTCCACCAGGTCAGGTGGCATCCCCAGGCAGGCGCTATTTAGTTTCTTATTACAAAAAGATAACATATGGGCATTTTATTAAAGAAGAAGAAACATGCAATCTTCTCATCTGTATTATGTCTGATACACCACGTTTTTGAATGGAATGAATTCCTTCATGGTTGATAGTTGTACTACATTTCCAACAGACTTTGGGTAAAGGATTTGATGGAGCTTATCATTTGAAAGCGCCCTAGCAGGGCTCTTTTCGCCTCGTGAAATGCTACTTTGGTTAGTTGGTTAGATGATGGTACCTCTTTCCAATATTTGGCCCTTGCACCTTTGATTGTTACTCTGAATTCTGTCTGTATAAGAGCATATTTGACTTATTTTTTGGGGGATTGTTTGCGCCCCCATCTGGTCATCTGGCAACATTGTGCTCATAGTCAGTGTGTTACTGGCAGTGTGTTATTGTGCTGAGCACACGCGGCGGGCATGGTCAGCTAAATTGCTCGAAGCATGCATGATAGGATGAGGCCATCATGTGGCTCGCCGTGTGTTGCAGCGCGAGCCTTTGCTCATTCTGGGCCATCCGAGAGCTACTGATTGGTCTCATCCGTTTTATTACTGTACAAAAATGGAGTAAAAACAGAGCTCGTGGTTCATGATTGGACAGCGATCGCACGTCTAACGCCCCGGCCCGTTCGTGTCCGTTTATTTTCCTTTTGGAGGGGAATTTCTGAATGCTAAAACTGTTCATTGGCGCCAGTCACCTACAGGACAAATTCACTCATTCTGGGCCGTTTGCCACGCAAACACGTCGTAACTGTTGAATATTCCGAAAAAACTACTACTATTGAGTATTCCGAATTTCCTTTTGGAATGTTATGTTGGATATACGAGTTGAGATGCTTTGCCCGGGCCTGTCTCTCTGCCGGGATTCCACATGCTATCGTACCATCCCTGCCCTGCAAATCCACTGCTTAAATCCGAATCCAGCTCCATTTTAATCCGGGCCCGTTCGTGTTCGGGATTCCACATGCTTTACCCCACGAGCATTTCGTCCCAAAGTCTTCATGGACACAACTGAATTATACAGACACGAGCTCCATTTTTTCTTCTCGAAATTGTACGAGCTCCATATTGATAAGCTGCAACCTATCGCTGTCCTCGTGGCCCTAACCCATCCTATCACCCTTTTCTGAACAAGGAAATAAATCATATTGTCCGTGCTGCCACCACCGCACCCACCCACCCACCTAACGCCAGTCGGATCGGACCAACCAACACACACAAACGCCCAAGAAATAACACGCCACGCTTCCCCCCATTGCTCGCTTCCTCCTCCTTCCCCATAGACAACATCTCCACATGTCCATACATCCAGAGCTAGCTGACGCAGTCTGATTACGATCAAAAAAAAAAAAGCTGACGCAGTCTGATATTTTTGGCGCCATTAATCAATCATCAGTCAACCAGCCCCGAGCTCTCTCTCTCGCTCGCTCGAGCTCACGCTCACGGCGACGACCACGACCACGTCCAGGTCCAGGTCAGAGCCGTTATTTATAGGAAGGAGGAGGGCCGGCCATGTCTTCCTCCTCTCCCCCCAATAGCGACGACAGCGGCAAGAAGCACCCGCTGGACGCCATGGGCGCCTTCTTCTCGGCGCAGGTGAACCGCCGCAAGCTGGTCACCACGCAGAAGCTGGCCATGTCCGAGCGCTGCACCTCCTGCGGCGACGACTTCCCCGGCTGCGCCCACCGCCCCGCCGACCGCAAGGCGTGGATGGCGGAGCTGGGGCCCGACCGCCTGCGCCTGCACCAGGTGGTGTGGCCGGGCACCCACGACTCGGCCACCAACAAGATCGGCATCCCCTTCATCACCCGCCCCTTCGCGCAGTGCCAGTCGCTCTCCGTCTACCACCAGCTCGCCCTCGGCTGCCGCCTCCTCGACGTCCGCGTGCAGGAGGAGCGCCGCGTCTGCCACGGCGTGCTCGCCACCTACTCCGTCGACGTCGTGCTCGACGACGTCCTCCGATTCCTGTCCGAGACCGTGTCGGAGGTCCTGGTCCTCGAGATCCGCACCGAGTTCGGCCGCGAGGACCCGCCGGACTTCGCCAAGTACCTGGTGGAGCGGCTCGGGGAGCACCTGATCCCGCAGGACGAGGCGGTGTTTCACAAGACGGTCGCGGAGCTGCTCCCGCGGCGGGTGATCTGCGTGTGGAAGCCGCGCAAGTCGCCGGCGCCCGGGCGCGGCGAGCCGCTGTGGAGCGCCGGGTACCTCAGGGACAACTGGATCGACACGGACCTGCCGGAGACCAAGTACGAGAGCAACCTCAAGTTCCTGGGCCAGCAGCCGCCGGCGAAGGACCGGCGGTACCTGTACCGGGTGGAGAACACGGTGACGCCGCAGGCCGACAACCCGGTGGTGTGCGTGCGGCCCGTCACCAACCGCATCCGCGGCTACGCGCGCAGCTTCATCGCCGAGGCCTTCGCCAAGGGCCTCGGCGACCGCCTGCAGGTCTTCTCCACCGACTTCATCGACGGCGACTTCGTCGACGCCTGCGCCGGCGTCACCAAGGCCCGCGTCGACGGCGCCGCGTGAGATCAACGGCGTGCATGGCCTTGTGTAGTAATTAGAGGTGTGGCCGCGCGCGATTAGTGTTAGAGTTGTGTCGAATATTATTGTACAAGTTAGGTTACAGTTGGACTTAGAGTCGTACGGTGTGTAGACAGGGTAGGAGTTGTGTCCTAATAGGACACATGTATTCTAGGCCTCTCATATATATCGGAGGTAGACACACGATGTAACCTATGTCAACATAATAGCACGGGCACGCGGGGGAGCCGGCGGCGTGTGCCGGTGCCCGGGCGGCCAGGGTGCGGTATTGTGACGGTGTCATGGGGAGGAGCGCCCGTAGTCATGCCCCGGGGATGTAGCCATGATCGGTGAACCTCGTTAACAAATCTCGGTGTCGTGCTTGTGTGATTGTTTGGTCATCGGTAGATCGACGGAGCGCCTCGGATTTATTCTAACAAGTGGTATCATGAGCAAGGTTCCATGTTCGAGATTGCGAGATCTTTGATCTAGAGGAAGCGACGAAGACCGACGGATGGTCACGGTGAACGTGCGGGTTCGCACGATTTCAGGAGGACCTCGGCAACGTTCGGAGATCGTCAGGTGAAAAGCAATTAGGACGCACGAGGCGGATGCGTTTGTCAGGCGGCGATTGCAGCGGCAGCATGCCAGATGCGGATCTCGGCGGAATCGTGCTGAAGCTGAACTTCTCGGCATCTCGTTGTTGGCGAGATGCGATCGTTGGCTGGCGGCACGTGCGGACTCGCTTGCCAGGGTGTGTACGACGAACGCTCGATGCCCAAGCATGCGACAAGGCCGCGGTTCAGGTGCGGGCGTGACGGACGCACTGAAGGACGTGAGGCCTAGTCGCGGGCGGGCGGGCGTGGCATGAGGCACGATGGCCTATGGCTGCGAGGCCCAGGCTGGGCTGCTTGGGAGCCGCGTGATGCAAGACACCGCGTGGAAAGCCGGCTGCGAGCAAATTGGTCTGACAGGAGCAATGGCGTGAGATTTGTTGCTGGAAAAAGGTGCAGTTCTTGTGCGTGCATGGAGGAGCTATTAGTGGACCAAGACAAGAGAAGGGAATTGTGCAGAGGGATCACTTGGTCAGGTTTGCATGAAAATTTCTCTTGTGGGTCATGCTTGCTAACAGTGCTTGGTGCGTGTACGTTAAGGACGGCAGCATGCGCATAAGGCTTGGAGGAGCCTGGAGTGCGCCGTGGCAGGATCATGCAAACACAGGGCGTCAAGTAATGCATGGAGATATGCGTGCGGACACGACGCAGGGTGGAGCATGGTTGCAGTCAGATAATTTCGGCTGGGTCGGACTGGACAGTCTGGCGGATCGACATGGATGTTGGTCAAAGCAGAAGACGGTGGTGATTTCAGCGACGACGACATAGGAGCGTGATGCTGATGGTGGCCGAATTCTGGGGCGTGGAAACGCGCGGTGCATGCCTGAGGGCTTGTGCGGCTTCGACAGACTATGACGCAGGGTTGATTCAAGACGGTGCACATGAGAGAGCTTGAAGTCGACAGGGTGCGAGGGTAGCAGGGCCAGCTACATGGAGTCATGTTGAAGGTGGAGCTGGAGTCTGATGGACGACTCCACTCTGTGCTGATGGAGGGGCTACGGCGTAAATGCATGGAGAGTCGAAGCCTATTTCAGTGGTATAGCGAGAGACACGTGGATTAGACTGGGGCCCAATGGTCTGATGGAAGCGTGATACTCGGCATCGGTCGGTGATGATCGGTGGTTCTCTGCAGTGGGGGTTGAGTGGTGTGGGTTTGCGACCTTGAGAGACTCGACTAGGACAGCAGAGGCTCGACGCGGCGATAGCAGCGAGGCGTGCGGTAAGCACGGGACACAGCGACAGGCTAAGACACTGGTGGTCAGACATGTGGTCAGGCAAAGTGTGCAGGGGTGCTGAAGCAGTGTTGACGAGTACCAGATTCAAGTTGGTGACAGGGTCTATTGGTGCCGGTTGATGGACAAGAGTTGACCATGGAGAATCTGAGAAAGTGGTGAAAAGTCTAAAATTGTCAAAACAGAGAAAGTACATGGCCGTATATTCTGTGGTGCTCGATGCACATGGCAAAGTGTGGATGACAAGACAGAAGGAGGCGGAGTGCTATAGCTGTGGGACATGCCAGAGACTATCCGGAAAAGGGGCGAGACAACTGTGAATTTGACTCAGGGTGACACAGGGCGACGGTGGAATTCCTTCAAGTTTCAGACAGACGGCCAAGAAAGAGCGGTGATGTTGAATTCAGGTAACTCTCATATGTGGCATCCAATATATGAGTTACTCATTTTTCACGCAGACAGTGGTCCATGTGTGATGGTGTTGAACGGATTCTCCGAAAGTTGGGAGCACAAAGTAGAGTATTGAGGAACTTAATTTTGCTCGAGTGTTGACTGTGAAGAAGACGAGAAGGGACTACAGTTGCAGGTGGAGTCACGTGGAGTCTGGGAGTAGCAGCGGAGCTCATGGCATATCTCAAGTCCAATGTACATGGAGGTTCGACGCACAGACGAATTCAAGGTGGTGGAGAATATTCGCCAAGGTGGAGTTTGTTAGAGTTGTGTCGAATATTATTGTACAAGTTAGGTTACAGTTGGACTTGGAGTCGTACGGTGTGTAGACAGGGTAGGAGTTGTGTCCTAATAGGACACTTGTATCCTAGGCCTCTCATATATATCGGAGGTACACACACGATGTAACCTATGCCAACATAATAGCACGGGCACGCGGGGGAGCCGGCGGCGTGTGCCGGTGCCCGGGCGGCCAGGGTGCGGTATTGTGACGGTGTCATGGGGAGGAGCGCCCGTAGTTATGCCCCGGGGATGTAGCTATGATCGGTGAATCTCGTTAACAAATCTCGGTGTCGTGCTTGTGTGATTGCTTGGTCCTCGGTAGATCGAGGGAGCGCCTCGGATTTATTCTAACAATTAGAGGGCTTCGTTCGTTCGTTCGTCGTTCGGGTTGTCTTTCCTTCTTTTCGTGGTGTGCAAAGCAGAGCAGAAAGCAGAGGAGCCGAAGCAGTGAAGCAGAGTGTGTGTGTGCGCGCGTCCGGGTGGGCATTCTTTGCAGGTAAAATTTGGGGTTAATGGTGTTGATGTTCATGTGTGATGTTTTGTAGTGGATTGGGGGTCTGTAAATACGGTGATGGATTGCATGTGCAAAGGAATAAGCAAAACTGTTTGATGTGAATTGTTCCTTCATCTCAGCAGAGAAAAGTTTTCATGCAAAGTAGCCACGGGCAGGATAGTTAATTTCTAAAAAAGAACTTGATTATATATTACATCATCTGTTCCTAATTGTCTTTCTAGAAATTTCAACAAGTGACTACATACAGAGCAAAATGAGTGAATCTACACTCTAAAATATGTCTATATACATTCATATGTGATAGTTCATTTGAAATCTCTAAAAAGACAAATATTTAGAAGCAGAGGGGTATCCAGGATGGTTTTCATCGACTCTCAGAAAAAGAAAAAAAAGGGAAATACTCGCTTTTAGGTTGGCTTTCAACTGGCGGCAATGTCCTCTGCTGTTGTTACCATCGAAGTTGCTTGCGATCAAGGCAAGCGTTACGGTCGAGCATTTATTCGACAGGGGACACCTCCTTTCCACACTAACATAACATCAGGTCTATTTAAAAAAAATGAAAATCACACAGCATTTTTAACTTCTATCTTTTGCCCGTTTGATTTTTCCAAAAAAAAGGGTAACAAAGTTAGTATTGTATTTGCGTGCATTTGCTACGCCTTTGCTACTTGCAAGTTGCCTGAAAATACAACTTGCAGTCGGTCGATTTGGGAAGGGAGAAGATGGCATGGTGTCGCCGGGGACGAAGCGGCATCGTCAATGAAGGAAAATTGGCGGTTGACGGTGCGCGAAAGACCCACTAGTGTAGGATAGGATGTTGGATTTAGAGGGACAACCAGAGGCGACGACAGAAAGCATGGCTTTGGGAAGGCGGGGCGGTGAGGCACCGGCCACGATGGTGGGGACTGGGGAGGAAGGCGGGAAGGAAGGAGAAGACGATGACGAGACATGAGGAAGAAGTTGAAGCAATTTGAGTTTTCACACAATTATCAATAGAGGTTCAAATTTGTGTACTGGGTGAAACTACATGCTTAATATGCTACTCCCACCCAAGATACCACCACACATGTGGCGAAGCTGCACCAACAACTTTGCTAGACACGAGCCACATGGCGTCCACTGGAACATGTCCCAATCAATCACCCGGTTAGGGTCTTTTCCCGTTATTAATTGTTTCTTATCCACGGCGAGCGCGACGCGGCAACCAACACGAAATAATCAGCAAGCTTGATCAACGTGTCATACGCGCCGTCGCCGGTGCTGGCTTTTTTTTTTTAGAAGAGTCGCCGGTGCTGGCTGGAATCGTAGGAAGGCGGTGTATGGGCCAGAGGCCCAAGTATTTGTTGCAAGCCGGACTCAATAAAAGTATTTGTTGCATGCACGGCCCGTTTAGTTGGGCATGTGTACGCTTTTTGTTTTGTGGGTGACTACCTACAAACGAGAGTTATGTCTCGCATTAAGCGAGATTGAAGGAGCCCCGCTCGCTACAGTACTTGGATAAGCATATTCATTCGATCGCTCGTGTTTTCTTCTCTTCGGGTTTTTCTTTCGTTTTCTTTGATTTTCTTTATTTTTCATCGGTTTCCTTTATTTTTTATTTTTTTCTTCGATATATGATGATTTTCTTTGTTTTTCTCATTGGTTTTCTTAGGTATACTTTGGCTTTTTCAATGGTTTTCTTTGTCTTTCTTTGTTTAAATATGTTGGTGGGACAAAAAAATGATGGGGGAGAATTAATCGGAGTGTGGCGAGACTATCAACTACTCCATTAGAAATATAGATTAAATATAATGGTGGGACAAAAAAATGATGGGGGAGAATTAACCAGAGAGAGACGAGACTACCAACTACTCCATTCGAAGTAGAGATTAAATATGTTGGTGGGACAAAAAAACGGTGAGTGAGAATTAACCAGCGTGAGGTGAGACTACCAACTCCTTTATTAGGAGTAGAGAAAACGGGTCAACGAAGTTTGTGTCATACTGATTTGATAATTGCAGTGATTGAATGACGAAATTCCCGGGGAAGCCTATATTCTAGATGTCTTAAAATGTAAAAAATAAACGGTCCAATCACTTTTTTTAGCTTTTCCCTTTGCATCAAACACTACAGTTTTGTTAAATGTCGACTCAGAAAAAAAGGTTATGAAATTAATTTATGTTCAGAAATACAATACTCTGGGTACGATGCTGAAGAATCGATCGAAGGGGCGGAGTTGGGATGGTTCATACTCATACGGTGGAGCTGCCTGATGGGGGCAGCGATAGGCCAGTACCGGTGTAGTCTTGTACTACGAAATCACTAATTAAAAAGTATTCGTTGCAAAGAACACTCCATTTTTTCAGGTTGCAACAAGTGGTGCATATGTAGTCTGCCACTTGTCGTAACATGAGAGTTTTCTTTTTTTTCGTAGATCCGTTTATTTAAAGCATTTTATTTTTAAACCGTGCGTCCAAATCTCGAATTATTTTCATCATTGGATTCCTCGCGTCGAGATCTTTAAAATTAGATCCCATGTTGATAGATTTTGACGAACTTTTTTTTCATGAAAAAACCGGACAAAAAAACCTGGCGAAAAAACCGAACCGGGAGCACGGTTTTTTCCCTTTCCAAAAGAGGCACGCCCGTGCCTCTCGCGAAATCACACCCGTGCCTCTTGTGGAAGCAAAACCGTAACTCTCGTGAAAGAAAAAAAAAACAAAAACATGTTTTTTTTCGTTTCCGAGAGGCATGACCGTGACTCTCTCGAAAGCACAACCGTGCCTCTCGCGAAAGCAAAAACGTGACTCTCGCGAAAGAAAAAAAATAGAAAACGTGTATTTTTTTCCCTTTCTGAGAGGCACGGCCGTGACTCTCACGAAAGCACAACCGCGCCTCTCGCGGAAGCAAAACTGTGACTCTCACGAAAGAAAAAAATAGAAAACGCGTTTTATTTTTCCCTTTCCGAGAGGCACGGCCGTGACTCTCGCGAAAGCACAACCGTGCCTCTCGCGGAAGCAAAACCGTGACTCTCGTGAAAGAAAAAAAAATAGAAACCACGTTTTTTTTTCGTTTCCAAAAGGCACGGCCGTGACTCTCGCTAAAACACAACCGTGCCTCTTGCGAAAAAACCGTGACTTTCGCGAAAGAAAAAAAAAGAAAACGCGCTTTTTTCGTGCAAAAAAAATTTTTTTTCAAAAAAAATTTTGATCGAAAAGCTAAGGAAGACCGGGAGAAAACCAAAACGTCGAAAAAACAAAAAAAAACATTTAAAAAGCCGAAAGCGCGTGCAGAAAAATAAAAAAATCCGAAGGGAACATCAAGAGCGCGACACGTTGCGAATGGCTGAGAGCGCGCCAAGTGGCGGTGATCGTTGCAAGACTCCTGAAGAAGCACTCGTTAACTAGTTGCTCCCCTTATACTATGTGTTGATATACGGCTGCCGTGAGCCTAATTGTCAGGTAAGAGTTTCCTGGACGGGTACTGGTCCATCTGCCATGTTCAAAACGATGCATCACGCACGGATTGCCTTCGTTCTAAATTACTGTACTTGTTTTAAATTTGTCTAGTTACAAAAGAGAACATGTCTAGATATACTTGTATTTAGAAAATTTAAGACAAATAATTCGAGACGGATAGAGTATATCATAACCTAAATTGAAGGTCAAACCGACATCACGACGGCATTAATATTATTATTCCAAATGAAAGTAGAATTGATAGAGCAACATTGATAAACACATTATGACTCGAGATCTTTGTATGGTGCTAGCAAGGCGATGCTGAGATTGATCAGCATGTCCAGTTGATGGCTTTCCTTGAGCAGCGCCTCCGCCCCCGGCATATCAAGAAGCGCAATTGCGCAGTAGCTGGAGACCTCGTACACTTTGTCCACACATTCGGGCAGCTTGGAGAATAGCGGCTTGTCATCGTCGTGGCCCGCGCTTCTTTCACCCTGGTAGTTCCTCATCAAGGCGTCGCAGAAGTTCAGGATGCTCGCAGTAGCCGCGTAGTCCAGCTCACAGATTCTGAGATGGCGTGCCGTCGACGATGTGCTGTTCTTGGTGTTATGCAACATATTCTTGACGTTGCCACCGGCGGTGACAACGCGCTCCTTGAGGATGTCGACGGGTATGAGCGCTAGGTCGTGGAGGTTCTTGGCGTTGGCGCTTCGGTTGTCGGACTGGAGGGTCGAGATGCAAAATTCTTGGCTCACGTACTTGTCTCCTTCGTTGTGTCCGCGGGAGAAGTTCGAAACGTTCTTGCACGCTCCCACCATGAAGTCCGTCGGTTTGGGCTTGCCACCAACGTCACCACTGCTCTGAGCAGCGATGGCCGAGGAAAGAAGCATGATGACGATGGTAGAGAAGATGGTGGTGGTCATCTGTGATGCTTCCATTGCTGCAAGGCCTATGAGAAGCCTTGAATTGGCTGAGAGTGGCGGGGATAAATGGAAAAAAGAAACAGATGACTAAGGCAGAAATGGATGAATGATTGGATGGACCGAGGTGATATAGATCGGTATTTATATAGTTCACGAAGCGGGGTTCATACATGTAAGTATCCAGTTTGGCAGTGGATATCCAAATGATTCCACATATATGTACATATCTTCATGCTAACTTTGGATCTCCTGATATTAATGCACAGATATGTAGATATTTTGATGCTCATTTTGAATCTCCTGATATTAATGCATAGTTATACTGATGAAACACAGCTTGATCAAGGGTATCGAAACTATCATTGTTTGTTGTATGATTTGCTTGGCGGTTCATAAATGCAGTTTACAGCTTGACCATGGATATCAAAATGATTAGTGCTAAACTATGGACTAATATGTTGCTCCTCATTTTGGATCTCCTTGTATTAATGCCTTTTCAATTCATAAATATGACGAGGCTCATTTTAGATGTCCACGTATTAATACAAATGATTCTAACTTTCATTGAAGCAACACCTCTTGATCATGGATATCTAAGATATTGATTAATACGTCAGGGAAAACCCATCACCTTTCCATCCTTGATAAAAACAATTTTTTTCAAGATCTCAACTGCAAGAGGTTGCCGTTTTATCAGTACAGCTATGCGGTGGGTTACATTACCTGGCAGTAGGTGTTGTGTGTTTGTGTCAGAATATTTTGTATTAGTTGGGTTACGCTTGGACTTGGTGTTGTAGTGTGGGTAGGATACGCGTAGTGTCGGAGTCGGACACGTTGTACCCTTGGCCTCTTATATATGAGGAGGCACCCCACGTTGTAAGCTGTGCCAAAATAATAGCATAGGCACGCAAGAGGGAGTTGGCGGCGTGTGCCGTCGCCCGGGTGACCGGTGTGCGATATTGTGAAGGTGTCACGGGGAGGAGCGCCCGTAGTCAGGTTCCGAGGATGTAGCCATATCGGTGAACCTCGTTAACAAATCTTGGTGTCGTACTCGTGTGATTGCTCGGTCCTCGGATGATCGACTGAGTGCCTCGGTTTTATTTCTAATAAGTGGTATCATGAGCTAGATTGTTCGGAGGCTGTGAATTATTGATCTAGAGGAAGTATCAAGTTTGAGATGTAGCCGGTTGCGGTGTGATTCTCGGCAAGATTGAAGGAGCGATCGCCAGAGTTCTCGGCGGGACTTGCAACAGCACGCATGGTGGCTGGCAAGACGTGCGGCGGTCGATCAGGTGCATCGATCGCGAGCGTCAAGCAACGCACGCGAATTGCGGCAGCAGCGACGCGGTCCAGCAGGCGGTGTTCTCGGCGACGGCATGATGTATCGCGTAATCAACAGATCGAAATCGGCGCAAGAGAAAATCCATCAGAGGCTACGCATCCATCGAGAGTAGAGGCTTTGGCAGGAAAGCAAATAGCTTAGCATACGGAAGTTGAGTCAAGAGAGCACTTCACGTGAAGACCAACTAGCTAGATTGCTAGTAGTAGACAGATGTTCTGTTCTTGTACTTGGGATCACTCGAAGACTGCTCGGTTATTTTTTACAGGGTCAGTTGTATAAAGAACCATGGCGCCATCGGGTACCAGGTTTGAGGTGGAGAAGTTCAACGGAACTGGAAACTTTGGGTTATGGCAGACAAGGATGAAAGATTTGTTGGCACAACAGGAATGCTTGAAGGCGTTGTTGCAGGAAGCCAAGCCAGCTAAGATGGAGGCAGATGACGGGGAGGAGTTACAGTTGAAAGCAGCCGGGACTATACGGTTGTGTCTGTTGGACCAGGTTATTTATCATATGATGGACGAGAATTCGCCGAACAAGATCTAGGACAAACTAGAAAGTCAGTTTATGTCCAAGACTGCGACAACCAAGGTGTATCTGAAGCAAAAGTTGTATGGGATGAAGATGCAGGAGGGGTCAGATCTTGTGGAGTATATGAACGCCTTTAATCAAGTCGTGACGGATCTAGCACGCTTGGGTGCAACAGCTGACGACGAGGATAGGGCAATTATGCTTCTTTGTTCATTGCCATGATCCTATGACCATTTGATCACTACTTTGACGCATGGCAAGGAGACCGTCAAGAATGAGGATATTACTGCGGCATTGCTATCTTATGATATGAGAAAGAAGAACACGGTGGAAGTCTCTCATGATGAAGGTTTGCTAGTGAAGGGTGAGGAGTGGCGGAAGGGATATGAGGCTGGAAAGAACAAGAAAAAGAAAAATAATATACAGTGTCACAAGTGTAAGCAGTGGGGACATATGAGAAAGGACTGTCCAGAACTCAATGGTGGGGCAAGTGCTAATAAGGCAACTCATGGTGATGACTCATACATCAGTAGTGATGTTCTCATAGTATCAGACAGGCGGTCAACCAAAAATGAAGCGTGGATGTTGGATTCAGCTTGCTCTTTTCATGCGACACCCAACTGAGAGTGGTTCTCTTCGTACAAGTCTGGTGAGTTTGGTTTAGCTTATATGGACGATGACACAGGTTATCGTGTTGCTGGAGTAGGTGACATCAAAATCAAGATGTTTGACGGAGTTGAGCGGATGCTTCGAGGAGTCAGGCATGTGCCAGGGCTAAGGAGGAATCTAATTTCGCTTGGAGTTCTTCATGATGGTGGTATGGTATTCCGTTGTGATCGGGATAAGAAGACCATGAGAATCATGAAAGATGAGGTGACCGTGATAATTGGAGGGAGGACGGCTTCACATCTTTACAAGTTGTAAGGGAGCACTATTGCAGGTGGAGTCACGGAGACTGAAGTTGCAGGAATAGCAGCGGAGTCTCATGGCAGTGGCTGGTCTGGGGCAGACTCGTCGAGTAACTCTCAGTAAGCTACGAAGAATACAACACAAGTCCGGAGTACATGGAAGTTTGACACATGAACAAATTCAAGGTGGTAGAGAATATTCGCCAAGGTGGAGTTTGTTGTGTTCTTGACGAATATTTTGTACTAGTTGGGTTACGATTGGACTTGGTGTTGTAGTGTGGGTAGGATAGTGTAGTGTCGGAGTTGGACACGTTGTACATTTGGCCTCTTATATATGAGGAGGCACCCCACGTTGTAACCTATGCCAACATAATAGCACAGACACGCAAGAGGGAGTCGGCGACGTGTGCCGGCGCCCGGGTGACCGGTGTACGATATTGTGACGGTATCACGGGGAGCAGCGCCTGTAATCAGGTCCCGGAAAATGTAGTCATATCGTTGAACCTCATTAACAAATCTCGGTGTCGTACTCGTGTGATTGCTCGGTCATCGAATGATCGACTAAGTGCCTCGATTTTATTCTAACAGTAGGTTCGTACATACATGGATCACTAGATACAAATTCATTCCTCTTTCCATATGTATGCATCCACCTAGTGTCCAATCAGCTTCTAGCTAATTTTCAGTTCAGTATCAGTCACATTTTCATCCTTCAGCATTGTGTAAGACCAGACAACAACGCAAAAATCACTGCTTGAGCGGGTCAAACAGACGAAAAAATTGAATGATGTCGAACTGAAAATGAGTGTAATTCTTTCGTTCCAATGACAGATGGCGTTGCCCCTATGGCCAAGATGAACAAGCTGAGGGTACTTCAAATATGCCAAGCATCACATAGATGCGGTGAGCCAAGCTCTTAAGTGCATTTGATTTCATTTCCCTCATCTGCAATGCTCGCTGCATGTGCGCAGGTCGGGAGTACCCTCACAGCATCCAACCGGACTCCTATACCCGCCCCAAACGCTCGGACGGCCTAAACGTAGAACTGACCACTAGGGCCCGTGCCCATTCGCTCCTTTGCACAGCCGCCACCGAACGTCCGTCGCTATCGGTGCTCCGCCGCCACCCTCAACCTACGGCTTCGCCACTGACTCCCAAACCCCGACCGCCGTAGATTAGGTTGCCACCGGATGCCGCCTTTGTACTTCGAACTCCACCATATTTTCACCTCGCACTCTACGTGTTCAATTAAATGTCCGACTAGTTTTTTATTCTTTTGGTCATTACTTTTAGGTCACCAATGGATTCGTCTTGGAATGATGGCTATGAAAACGATGATCTTGATGAATTCATATTCAACGAGTTCATCGCTTTGCCGGATTCGGACGATGAGAATGCCAAAATGATGACAATGATGAGCATCCAAGAGGAGTTGGAGAAGGCATATGAGCACATCCTCAACTTCAAGGGTTCCATCAAGGGCCGGAGAGTTATTCCACATCATAAGATTGCCGGTGCATGCCTTTTGTACACGAACTACTTTACGGTGGTCCCAACATTCCATGAAACTTTCTTTCATCGTTGCTACTGGATGAGTAGAAAGTTGTTCTTGCGGATAGTGGAAGGCTGGAGAAGGCTGATGACAACTCCAAGCCGAGGAAAGATTGTTGCGAAATTTTTTCCTTCTCTCCTTTGCATAAATGCACGGTTGCTCTCAGGATGCTTGTTTATGGTAAAGAAGCAGATGCAATTGATGCAGAAATCCGGATGGGAGATACCACGGTCCTGAACACCACGGTGCAATTTGCACGCACTATGGTGAAGGTGTTCGGAACATAGTACTTGAGAGAGCAACCTATGGAGGACATACAAAAATTGTTGGCAATCGAAGCAGCAAGAGGATTCCCAGGTATTTTGGTTCAATTGATTGCATGCACTGCCAATGGAAAAACTACCCAAAAGATTTGCATGGGCAATACCAAGGTCACGTCAAAGAAGTCACCATCATACTTGAAGCAGGGGCATCGCAAGACTTGTCAATTTTGGCATGCCAGGTTTGTGCAAATGACATCAATGTGCTCCAATGATCTTCTTTGTTCAAGAGATTCCGCGATGAGGAAGCTCCACCGTGCAACTATACCGTCAATGGGCACAACTACACCATGCTCAAGCGCCGTCATTATAACATCGCAAACAACAACTATGCTTGCCTGTTGTGCAATCAACCACCAGAAGAGACGGTGGAACACCTCTTCTTCCACTGCCCTTTCAGTGTGCAATGTTGGGCCAAACTGGGGATCAACTGGCCTAATTATGACAACCGCATCAGGTTGATTCGTGCTGGTAAACAACAGTGGAGCCAGCCTCTCTTTATGGACATTTTCATGCTGTCCTCCTGGAGTATTTGGAAGGAACGAAACAATGAGCATTTTAGGGGGGTACCGCACTCCTCTGACTCTTGGCTGGCGCGCTTCAAGAGCCTAATGGAGTTATGACAATCCCCAAGTGCAGGGAATCATCGTAGCAATTCCCAATGGTGGAAGTGATAAGTATGGAGTGTCGAACCCACAAGGAGCTAAAGGTAAGATCAATATTCTCTCAAGTTTTATCTGCCACTGATACGACTCTACGTACATCGAACGTTTGCTTCCAACTAGAAACGAGAAATAAAACTACGTTGTGGGTATGAAGAGGATAACTTTGCATGGTATCGGAGAGATAAAATATAAAAATAGGTGCTGTTATCATAAAGTTAGAATATATTACTAAATATTATAAATAGCGAGTGTGGAATAATGGTGGATCGGTGTGCGGAATTGTCTTAGGCAATTGTTAACAAGACCGGTAGTCATCACTGCAATTTCATATGAGGGAGAGGCATAAGCTAACATAGTTTCTCTTCTTGGATCATATGCACTTATGATTGGAACTCTAGCAAGCATCCGCAACTACTAAAGATCATTAAGGTAAAACCCAACCATAGCATCAAAGCATCAAGTCTCCTTTATCCCATACACAACAACCCCCTTACTCGGGTTTATGCTTCTGTCACTCAAGCAACCCACTATAAGCGAATCATGAACATATTGCAACACCCTACAACGGGAATCCCTCACGCTTGCACGACACGGAGGGCACAATAGGACAGCACAAAAATAAAACATACAACTCATACCAATCTAGATCATCAATCAACCCAAAGACAAAGGATACCTACTCAAAACATCATAGGATGGCAACACATCATTGGATCATAATATGTGGCATAAAGCACCATGTTCAAGTAGGGATTATAGCGGGGTGCGGGAGAGTGGACCGCGTAAAAGAGATGAGGGTGGTGATGATGATGGTGATGTTGATGAAGATGATCACCGCGATGATGATTCCCCTCCCGATGGCACTCCGGTGCCACCGAGAAAGAGGAGGAGAGGTTCCCCCCTTGTGCTTCCTCCTCCATGGCCTCCTCCCTGGATGGGGAGAGGTTCTCCCTCTGGTCCTTGGCCTTCATGGTGATGATGGCCCCTCCGGGATCCTCCTCCATAGCCTCCGGTGATGATGGCCCCCTCCGGCAGGGTGCCAGAGAGGGCCAAGATTGATTTCTCATGGCTATAGAGGCTTGCGGCGGCAGAACTTCCGATCTAGGTTATTTTCTGGGGGTTTCTGTATTTATAGGAATTTTTGGCGTCGGTTCACGTCAGGGGGGGGGGTCTCCGAATCGTCCATGAGATAGGGGCCCACGCCCAGGGGGTGGGGTGCGCCCCCACCCTCGTGGACGGCTCGGGACTCTTCTGGCCCAACTCTTTTACTCCGGGGGCTTCTTTTGGTCCATAAAAATCATCAAAAATTGACACGTTAATTGGACTCCGTTTGGTATTCCTTTTCTGCAATACTCAAAAACAAGGGAAAAACAGAAACTGGCACTGGGCTCTAGGTTAATAGGTTAGTCCCAAAAATCATATAAAATACACCCTCCATTCGGAATTACTTGTCACAAAAATGAATGTATCTACAACTAAAATACATTTAGATACATTCATTTCTTGGACGAGTAATTCCGAACGGAGGGAGTAGCATATAAATGCATATTAAACATCTAAGATGGATAATATAATAGCATGAATACTTTATAAATTATAGATACGTTGGAGACGTATCAGCATCCCCAAGCTTAATTCCTGCTCGTCCTCGAGTAGGTAAATGATAAAAGAAATAATTTATGAAGTGTGAATGCTAGCAAGTGCATAAGTTTGATCAATGATAATTCCAATCACTTTTTCTAGCATCATTATATATCATAACAGTAGCTCAACTCATGAAACTTCTCATGATCAAGTAACAAGCTATTCACATGTTAAAGTATAGATCATATACTTTCTTGAAAACTAACAAACCGTGCTCTTAGTCATAAAAAATTGCAATTCATCTTATTTTCGGGAAGGGTCTATGTAAGAGTTTTGATTCAGCAAACTCCACATACTCAACTATCATTTAATCTTTCACAATTGCTAACACTCATGTGATATTTATGGGTTCAAAGTTTTAATCGGACACAGAGAAAGATAGGGGCTTATAGTTTCACCTCCCAACCTTTTACCTCAAGGGTAATGTCAACAGTAAAAATTTATGAAAACCTACACCCAAGTGGATATATATATTTGGATCGCTCCAACACAAAGTGCTTGCCAAAGGAAAAAGTGTAAAAAGGAAAGGTGATGACCACCATGACTCTTTTATAAGGGTAGAAGATAGAAGTAAAAGATAGGCCCTTCGTAGTGGGAATCATAGGTTGTCATGCGCTTTTATGGTTGGGTGCACAAAATCTTAATGCAAAATAATGTCACTTTATATAGCCACTTGTGATATGGACCTTTATTATGCAGTCCGTCGCTTTTACTTCTTCCACATCACAAGATCGTATAAAGCTTATTTTCTCCATATTAATAGATCGTACATATTTAGAGAGCAATTTTTATTGCATGCACCGATGACAACTTACTTGAAGGATCTTACTCAATCCATAGGTAGGTATGGTGGACTCTTATGGCAAAACTGGTTTAAGGAATGTTTGGAAGCACAAGTAGTATCACTACTTGATGCAAAGAATTTGGCTAGCATGAGAGGGAAAGACAAGCTCAACATGTTGGATGATCCAAGACAATATAACGTTTTGGATATAGGAAAACATAACCCATTAAGTTGTCTTCCTTGTCCAACATCAACCTTTTAGCATGTAATATTTTAATGAGTGCTCAAAATTGCAAAAGATGTCCAAGATAGTATATTTATATGTGAAATCTCTCTTCCTTCAATATTCTTTCATGAATTGTTCAAGTGACCAATTCTGCGTTTGCTAACTTCCAATAAGTTTACTACCTATACTTATTATGTGTGAAGTCATTACTCCCCATGTTGTAAGCATATGAAATGTATATAAATTCAGATTTATGATATTCAATTCATTCAACCATTTACCCATAGGATATATGCGAAGCACGTGAGTAAATGACAAACTACTCCAAAAAGATATAAGTGAAGAACACTCAGTAGTCAAATAATTAACTAGCCATGGGAGGATTCTTTTTCATTCAAGATTTCAGATCCAATGATTTATTCAAACAGCAAGTAAAATTAAAAATACGCTCCAAGCAAAACACATATCATGTGACGAATAAAAATATAGCTCTGAGTAAGGTATACCGATAGTTTTGAAGACGAAAGAGGGGGTGCCTTCCGAGGCATCCCCAAGCTTAGGCGCTTGAGTCTTCCTTGAATATTACCTTGGGGTGCCTTGGGCATCCCCAAGCTTAGGGTCTTTCCACTCCTTATTCTCCTCATATCGATATCTCACCCAAAACTTGAAAACTTCAATCACATAAAACTTAACGGAACTTCGTGAGATAGGTTAGTATGATAAAGAGTAACCATTCACTTTGGTACTGTCAAAGACAAGGTTCATAATTGTTCTCACACAAAGCCTACTGTACCATATCATTTATACAATTTATATTGATAAATATAAGCCATAGAAACTAGAAAACAAGCAGACTATGCAATGAAAATAGAATCTGTTAGAAACAGAACAGTCTGTAATGATCTGAACACCAACCATACTTGTGCTACTCCAAAAATTCTGAAATAAATTGGTGGACGTGAGGAATTTGTTTATTAATATTCTGAAAAAAGAATCAACTCAATCGCACTCTTTTGTAAAAAATGACAGCTAATCTCGTGCGCGCAAAGTTTCTGTTTTTTACAGCAAGATCACATTAACTTTCACCCAAGTCTTCCCAAAGCTCTTACTTGGCACTTTATTGAAACGAAATCTATAATACATGATTAATACAATATCTTAATCATGATAACACATAAAAACATTAAGGGTAAATATTGGGTTGTCTCCCAGCAAGCGCTTTTCTTTAATGACTTTTAGCTAGGCATAATGATTTCAATGATGCTCACATAAAAGATAAGAATTGAAACATAGAGAGAGCATCATAAAGAATATGACTAGCACATTTAAACCTAACCCACTTCCTATGCCTAGGGATTTTGTGAGCACACAATTTATGGGAACAAGAATCAACTAGCATAGGAAGGAAAAACAAGTATAACTTCGAAACTTTAAGCACATAGAGAGGAAACTTGATATTATTGCAACTCCTACAAGCATGTATTCCTCCCTCATAATAATTTTCAGTAGCATCATGAATGAGTTAAACAATATATCCATCACATAAATCATTCTTTTCATGATCTATGAGCATAGAAATTTTACTACTCTCCACATAAGAGAAATTCTCCTCATTCGGAATAGTGGGAGCAAACTTCTTCTAAATCCACTTTAGATGATAGTATTATTCATACTCAAAAAGATATAAGTGAAGTTCATGGATCATTCTACAATTAATATAGACTAACCAATATCCAAGCTCAAAATATATAAGTGAAGCACACAAATCATTCTATAAAACCATACTCAAAAGATTTAAGTGAAGCACAAAGAGCAATTCTATACGATCGTACTTAAAAGATATAAGTGAAGCATATGAAGTATTCTATAAATCAATAAAGGGTTATCTCATACTAGCATGGTTCTTAGAGTAAAAACAAAAACAAAAACACAAAGGACACAAATTATGTGAACAAAACAAAAACCGAGGTATACCGATAATTGTTGAAGAAGAAGGATGGGATGCTGATACGTCCATTTTGCATCATGCTTTTATATCGATATTTATTGCATTATGGGCTGTTATTACGCATTATGTCACAATACTTATGCCTATTCTCTCTTATTTTACAAGGTTTACATGAAGAGGGAGAATGCCAGCAGCTGGGATTCTGGGTTGGAAAAGGAGCAAATATTAGAGACCTATTCTGCACAGCTCCAAAAGTCCTGGAACTTCATGAAAGTTATTTTCAGAATATATAAAAAATACTGAGCGCAAGAAGTACCAGAGGGGGGGGGGGCACCCACCAGCCACGAGGGTGGGGGGCGCGCCCTACCCCCTGGGCGCGCCCCCTGCCTCGTGGGCCCCCTGGTGGCCCTCCGATGCCCACCTTCTGCTATATGGAGTCTTTGGTCGAGAAAAAAAAATCATAAGCACACTTTCGGGATGAGACTCCGCTGATACGTCTCCAACGTATCTATAATTTTTGATTGCTCCATGCTATTATATTATCTATTTTGGATGTTAATGGGCTTTATTTTACACTTTTATATCATTTTTGGGACTAACCTATTAACCGGAGGCCCAGCCCAAATTGCTGTTTTTTTGCCTATTTCAGTGTTTCGCAGAAAAAGAATATCAAACGGAGTCCAAACGGAATGAAACCTTCGGGAACGTGATTCTCGGAACAAACGTGATCCAAAGGACTTGTATCCTACGTCAAGACATCATAGTTGAAGCTTTAGCATGATCCTTTATTCTAACAGGGAAAGGTGGTTTCTCAACATAAGAAGTAGGAACAATAGGATCATTATAAGTGATAGTCTTTTCTTCAACTTTAATAGGTGCAGCTACTTTTACTTCTATGGGAGGATGATATTTAAGGAGATCAACATAAGTAGCAAAAGATTCACAGAAACAAGCTACTATATTAGAGTCAAGTCCATATTTAGTGCTAAATTTACGAAAAATATCAGTATCCATAAAAGATTTAACACAATCAAACTTAGGTGTCATACCTGACTCCTTACCTTCGTCGAGGTCCCAATCTTCAGAGTTGCGTTTAATTCTTTCCAATAAATCCCATTTGAATTCAATAGTCTTCGTCATAAAAAAGCCAGCATAAGAAGTATCGAGCATGGTGCGATTGTTATCAGAAAGCCGAGCATATAAATTTTGAATAATCATTTCTCTTGAGAGCTCATGATTGGGGCATGAATATAACATTGATTTAAGCCTCCCCCAAGCTTGAGAGATGCTTTCTCCTTCGCGAGGCCAAAAATTATACATATAATTGCGATCACGATGAACAAGATGCATAGGATAAAACTTCTGATGAAATTCCAATTTCAATCGTTTGTAGTTCCATGAC